CTTGGAGACGGGCGTGGCCGCTGCCCTGTGGGCGGGTCTGAGCGTCCCGGCTCGGCGGCCTGGACCGGGGCTCCTGCGCCCGCGCCCTCTCGGCGACGCAGTGGCTTTGGGAGGATGTCTGTGAAGCCTGACCCTCGAGTCCGAGGAGACGCTCCACACACAGTAGCCCGGAATCCCAGGGGTGTGACGTTGGAGCCCGGGTTTCCTTAATGTGTCTGATGACAAGAATCTGGGGGCGTGTTAGTGCAATCACAGGTTCCCAGCACCGCCCCCCCCGGAAATCCTGATTTTGGTGACGTGTCTGGGATTGAAGGGGGACATGCAATATCTGTATTTGCATTTTATTCATACGGAGATGTTTATTGAAGTCTTATTCATAGTGGCATAAAATTTGAGACCTAAATGCCCATCAAAAGGGGCATATTTAATAAGATATAAGGGGTTCATTCTCATTTGGACCACTGTGCTGCTTTTTAAAAATGCAGCTTTCTTGGGGTATATTTTTTTTTGAGTCAGGGTCTCACTCTGTCACCCAGGCTGGAGTGCAGTGGCACGATCACGGCTCACCACAGCCTCGACTTCCTGGGCTCAGGAGATCCTCTCAAGTTAGCCTCCCAAGTAGCAAGGACTACAAGCGTACCACCACACCTGACTAATTTTTGCATTTTTTGTAGAGACGAGGTCTCGCTTTGTTGCCCCACTGGTCCCGAACTCCTGGGTTCATGCAATCCTCCCACCTCGGCCTCCCAACCCACCTCAGCTTGAGCCACCATGCCTGGCTGATTGGAGCATACTTGACTTACAGTAAACCACACATGTTTACCATATGTACTTTGACAGGCTTTGGCATGTGATTACACCCTGGAGTTCTCACCACAGCCAAGGTAGTGAGCATCCCATCACCCTATAGTCCTCTCACAAACCCAGCATGTTGGCCTGCCTGCTTGTAACAGCTTTATTGAAGTATAATTCATACACCATGAACTTCCCCCATTTCAACTGTTTCATGTAATACATTTCAGCTTATTTCCAGAGCTGTGCAGCCATCACCCCAATCCACTCTCAGAGTGTTTTGTCACCCTACCCCCACCAAAAAAAAAACCTCTGAGGTGATTCTTTTTTGTTCTTTAAATTTTCTATTTTTAAGGTTGTAATAAAATAAAATACATATAACCTAAAATTTACCATCTTCACCATGTTTAAGTGTACAGTCTGGCAGCCTTCAGTGTATTTGCGTCATGTGACCATCGCACGGTCCACACACAGAACTCTTCACTTCGCACAATCGAAACTGTCCCCGCTAGACACACACTCCTCGTTCCCCTCCCCAGCCCCTGGCAGCCACGGTTCCACCTTCTGTCTACGGCTTTGACTATTCTAGGGACCATGCATGGGTGAAATTGTCCACAACTTGTTCTTTTGTGTCTGCTTATTTCACTTCACGTCATGTCCCCAAGGCTCATCTCAGAGTGTCCTCCCTGTTTAAGGCTGAATAAGATCCTATTGTGTGGTTGGACCGTGTCTTGTTTGCCCGTCCACCTGTCCATGGATGCTTGGGTTGCTTCTGCCTCTTGGCTATTGTGGATAATGCAGCCGTGATCATCAGCTTATAAAGGTGGGTGGGGGGGGTACTTTGTTTTAATTACACAACGGATCAGCCACGGTAAAGACTAACCTTGACTCTCAAGGAGCAAGAGGACACGTTGTAACACAGTGAAATCAGCAGCGGAGTTATAATGGGGTTGTGGTGAGTGGTGGGGACGCTGTGCTTGGCAGTTTACCTGTTTTCTCTTATTTAATGCTTGCAACAACCTATGAGAACCCGCGAGGTTCTCAAGTCATTGCCATGTTGCAGACAAGGAAGCTGAAACTCAGAGAGGTGAAGCCATTTGCCCAGTGTCACACAGCTAGTTGGTAGGAATTAAACTGTCTCCACTTAAAGATAACAACAGGGAGGAAACCATTTAAGCCGACGCTAAGAGCAGCAGCAGCAACGGACTTTCAAACACGACAGAGTATGCTTTACAGCCATTTGATAGTACATGAATTGTTAAAATTTGTATTTCTATATACAGTTGCTTCCTGTGGCATTGGCCAAGGGACCGTTGGCAACTGGGCGGGTGCTCCCTGGTCTGGGCCCAGGGTTCTTCACAGCAGCCTGAGCCTGTCCCGGGAGTGGCCGAGTCTTGTCCCTGCCAGCCTTTCCTCAGGAGACCCCAGCCCTGCTCCATCCTACAGAAGTGCTCCCGCCCCCTCCCAGAGCCTTCCTAGGCCAAGGGACATTCCTGCAGGTCCCCAAGCTCTTACTGACAAGGATCCTTGCAGGCCTGAGGGCAGCCACGTGGACTGAGTCACACGCTCCTATGAATTCACTCTCCATTTGCCTGATGACCTTGGGCTATTTTTTAAGAAGAGGGGAGGCATGGAAGAGCGTCTCTCATCACATCTCATCTCATTTGGGAGCCCAGTTTTTCTACAAATTGTGTGACTTTCTGGATTCCTGCATGCTCTTATTTCTGATGTTTGGGTCCCTGAGGGGGGCCCTATGTTTTCCCTGGGGGAAGATCGTCCTCACTTCATATGGGTTAACTGTTCTCTTCCCAACCAAGAGTTCCCACGTGGAAAGGTTTCTTTCGGGTTTTGTGGTAGCCACAGCCAATAGAGAGGGACGTATTAGGGAGTGGGGGTGGAGGCAGATGTTAAGGACCCAGATGTGTCACAGACGTCACCGTGGTTGGCACAGGCATCCTCATGTTCCAGTCAGGCCGCCCAGCACAGTGCCAGCCCTGCCCTTAACCAGCCATGGGATCGAGTACACATGGCTGTCCTCTCATAGTCTTGGTTCCGTTTCTGTAAGATTTTGGGAATCACGATAGTTCCTACCACGTGGGCTTACTATCGTGTTACACGGTAAGTATGTAAATGTCTTTGCCCAGCACCAGGCACCTGTGACGGGTGCTGATAACCCAGTTCCTGAATCAAGCAGAGGACCAAACCAGAACCTCTGACTCCTTGGTGAGCCTTATTGCTTTCTAGAGTATCAGGAACCCAACTCAAGCTAGCCTAAGCAAAGAAGGAAGAGGAAGAAGAGGAGGAAAAGGAGGAAGAAGAAGAGGAGGAGGAGAAAAAAGAGGAGGAGAGGGTTCATGAAACTGAAAAGGCCAAAAGTACCAGCTTCAGGTGTGATTGGATCCAGGTGCTCAAGTGATGGTCAAGAATCTGTCTCTTTCGTCTGTGGTGGCTTCATGATCTCAGGCAGATTCTTGCCTTACTTGTAGCGAAGGGGCCTCCAGCAGCCCCAGCACCCTCCCAACATAGCAGCTCCGGTAAAAGAGCAAGCTTCGTCATTGGCTTCGCTTGGATCACCTGGCTGTCCCCAAACCAATCACTGGGGCCAGAGATTTAAAATGCTTTGACTGACCAGGCCCGAGTCCTGCTCCCTTCCCTGAAGTGGAGGGGATCGGCCCCCTCAGAATTACCTGGACTCAGCATCATGGGAGGGAAAGGCGTCTCCCCTCTGCTCATCCAGAAGATGGAAAAATGAATGCAACATGGGGGAAAAAACCCAGGAGACAACCAAATATCTGTGGCACGAGGAAGTGCTCCCACCTCCTGAGCTGCACCTCTCTGCAGGATTCAAGGCTGGGGGGTAGCTCTTGAGAAGGATGTGGCTTTGCCTATAACCAGGTCAAGTCGTGCGGGTTTGGCGGCTTCTGAATGGACCTCTGGCTCCCAAGCTGTCTCCAGCTTGATCTGGTAGGGTTTTCCTCCACACTCTGCTCTTCAGCTCCCAGGACACCTGCTGCTGAGACAAGGATCCCGAAACCAGGTGTTTTCTATCAAAGGAGATTTTTCCCAGGCCAGTGGGATGATGGGCCCTAGGGCAGCAGATGGCCTCAGGCACGATGCCCCTGCAGAAACCCACAGACTCATCAAACGGCTGCAGACCACACAGATGGCCTTGGGGAGCCAGAGAGAGAGAGACGCAGGCGGGAGCCTCAGTGCCCTGGTGAGGCATGACAGACCTGGCCAAGAATCCCTGGGACCCACACGTGGCTGCTTCCTGTCTCCTGGCAGCTCACGCTCTTCCAGAACTGCAGCCATATCACGCCTTTTCCTCACTTAGCTGATGCTCATTCGTTCATCCGTTCATTCATTCATTCGGTCTGGCAAGACTGAACCAAAGTAGGCCACCTCTAGGCATAGACTATTTGCCAAGATCTAGGGGTTTTCTTACTGGATTCTCTCTCTCCTTTTATGGACTGACCAGGAAACGAACCAGAACTTGAAAGGAAAGGGAGAGCCTTGAGCTGGAAGATTTGCCAAGACGGAAGGTGACCTGGGGTCACAGACGCCCGTCAACCCGCCTGGCTGGGAACTAGATGAATGACTTTTCTTTTGCTGTAAAGGACTTACTTCCTCAAGCTCCAAAATTAAAACCTGACGTGGATTGATACCTGACGTGGAGGTTCTGGGTTCTAAACTGCATCATCCTGGCTTCCCGCTCCAAGTCCAGCCCCTCCCCGCCTGGGACTGCTGGGGTGAAGGTGTCCCCCGGCCCACACAACGCCCTCTGCTGGCTCTGGGCTCTGCTGTCCACATTTAGCGTTCTGTATCCTGCCTGTTGTGGGCTCCTCTCTGCGGGGTCACCCTGCCTCCTCCCGCTGCCCCCGCCCCCAGCCCTTCCATGTCCCTTCCCATCTCTGCAGCTGTGTTAGAGTAAAACTGAGTAAGATCAGAAGAAAGCAGGGCTGGAAGAGGGCCCAGAGGACCACTTGAATGAGTAAGTTACGTTCAGAGTTGCATGTGGATTTCATACTATTTTTTCTAGTAACTCAAAGGCCCCTTTTTAAAAAACTAAAAAAGAAAAAATTATTGAATAATCTTTTTA